ATCCAACACTAGATTCCATGTTCTTTAGGGATTTTATACACCACAAACCCCTACTTAGAAAGGGGCAGTGTCATGGTCTGTACCTTTTTCCTTTCTTTCCCATTTCCCCTCCTTGTCTCCTAGGCTGTTCCACTACCGCCAGGTAAGCCCCAGATCTCTGCCTGAAGTACAGGTGGACAAGGAATGGTACAGACCCAGGAACACTCACAGAGGCAAGAAGCAGTAGCAGTGTTGCCTAGAGACACTGTGGAGTCTCCATCTGTTCATTACCTAACTGGGTGAAACCTCGGAGAAATCAAATTTGAAATGATTGTTGGCCCAGTTTTGAGCAGAAGGCTGGACTTGGTTCCTCCAAATCAGACACCTCTAAGATTCTGTGATAATGTCACTAAAAAACCCAGATGTGGGACCTGGGAGTAGATGTACTTCAGACACTCCCAACATACTTTCTGTGTGGAGGAGGTGCAGAGGGAGGAGAGAGCAGGAAAAAAGAAAACCGAGTCCCATAAAACCTACCAGTCCCTGCCTTTTCAGGGTCTGGAATACCCCTAGGACAAATTAGGGACTAAAAGCTACAGACACTACATGAGTTTTTTGTAATCCTCCCCCTTTTTTTTTTACCAGGTTTCTCCTTCTGGGATCGATGTACCTCATGGTGGCAAACCGGGCCAGACCCTCCTTGTAGACAAAAATCCTCAGTGGGTCACAAGATGTGACCAGCACATAGATACGCATGTCAAACTTAAAGCCATCAATAAGGAAAGGCTGTGAGGAAAAAGGCAGGAGCAAGCATGAGATAAGGGAACATTGCTGGGTGTGCTGCTGATTCCTCAAGGCCAGCTGCTCCACCTGCACTGCCTGCGCCACTTCCAGCAGCTCAGCAGTGAGGAGGAAGACAAGCTTTCGCTGTGCCCCTGACAGACTCAAGAAACATGGGGCAAAGGACATGAGGAGGAGGCAGGGTGCGGGAAGAGCTAGAAAGCTGCAGTCCTTCACCTGTGCTTCAGGACAGTCCCCATTACCTTAGAGATATACTGCTGACAGATCATATGCTCTCCATGTTTGATCTCTTCTGGATTACGTGTTATGAAGATACCTCGACCTTGGCAGCCGCTGTCTGGCTTGCAGATGAATGTTCTGTTCTTCCTCCTGCGCCGGTAGGCCTGAAAGTCTCCGTAGCTGTACAATGAAGGGGTGACTGTTACATGCTGCAGAAAATGAGCCCCTCATCTTCCTGGTAACATTTAGATATTCAAACTACTGTGCTAACAGACCTAAGTTCTGCAGTGGAGAAATAGTACAGCGATTCTGGGTTTACATCAGCTCTTATTTAGTCCTTGTGCAACCTGACAAAGCTCTTCTAGTTCCAGCTTTTTCTTGCGCACATCTCCACCTCTACCAGGAGTTCCATGGGAAACAGTCAGCACTATTTGTACAGAAGCCAGTGAGGATTTTGGCTCTGCTGCTGCAGAGGGATTGGGGAAAAATAAAACACTGCCTACAAAGGAGGGGGAGGTCACAAGTCCTTACATCCCCTTTTGTTCCAGCTCATCAGCAAATGGTCAGCAGGCTGCAGCCAGGATGCTCTATGCAGGGTGCAGAGGCTCACAAGCTGCACTCACGTATCACATTACGTGCTTGGTCTTCAAAAGCAGCTCCATTGGGAGTATGATGCCTTGAAGAGTCAAGCCCACATGCCAGTAAATTATCTGCTGTTGATGGAGGAACACTGTCTCTGTACTATAAGGAAATGAGGAGCCATACTGACCCTTCTTGCGTGAGTGGTGGGCACTGAACCCAGCCTGTGTGGGGAGAGAGCCTCTTGCTGCTCTGCATTTACCAGTGAGCTGCAGAGGAATGTTCCCAGAAACTCAGATGTTATGCTTCTCATCCTGCCCTTTGGCTTTCAGGGCGGGTCCCTCTTCCGAGATTCATCTCTTTGGCCACTAAGCACAGTAAACATTGTAGGGGATGTCATTCCACAGGAAATCTCAGAGACCATTCCCATCCAAGCCCTAGCTGTCAAGCACAGTGCTTCTCACTTCCTGATTTCATACCCCTATTCTCTGCTGCATTAATGTGTATCACTCACTCAGCTGGCAGGCTCCACGTACGGGGAAAAATATTGTACTCCTTGGGGAAGAGTTTGAGCATGCGGTTAAGGTTGCGGGCCAACAAATCCTTACGGCAGATCTCTATCATGCCAGGAAAATGGTTGATCTTCTGAAAGAGGTGCAGAAGAAAAACAGAGTCATCAATGATAATCCTTGAGGTCAAGGAAAGGCAGTGTATGGAGAAACAAACACACAGAACAGGAAGCCAGGTCAGTTGTTGCCTTGAACGCCTGCTGAAGGACAAGAGTACGCTAACTGCTTTATCTGACTTCACCAGTGTGATTTATCTGCTCATTCCATCTCAGCCCTGAAGCTCTGCCTTCCTACAATACTGCAGCTTCTGAAAGGGAGCAGCTTGTCAGCAAGAGTCATTTATTTCACTCTACATTAAAGGGGCTGGCAGCTTTCCAGTTCCCCACTGACTGTCAGACTGTTACTGATGGCATCACTACAGACACAACAGAAGCAGTGACTGATGAACCTGTGCACTCTGGGACCAATATAGAGATTGTGGGGAACAAGTGCTAATTTTAGACAAATCAGTTTTGTTCTGCAACACTTTGTTCCATTAACAGCTCTGTCTCATCCTCCTCTCCTGAGCTCTTCCTGCTGGGCACCCTTTTCACGGGGTATTTACCTGAAACCGTTTCATTTCCATGACACGTTCCAGAGAGACTGAATAGTCAGTCCAGTACACTGTCCAGTCCTCGTTTTCTCCCACTTCTTTCAGCCCGCAGCACAGTGCAGCGCGACGCACTATATGGAAGGAAGCACACGACAAAGGTCCAGGAAGAGGATACAAATACCAGGGACAGTTAAATCCCCAGAGTAAACAGGAGGGTGGGCAAAAACTCTTCAAGCTGCACTGCCAGCCTCAGGGGTGACAAGGTCTAAACAGGACCCTTCAGAAGACCTCAGAAACACAAACTCTATCCAGCTAAACTCAACACAGCCTCTGCCTGCAGGTATAGTGCAGGCTTGAATCCACCCTGCGTTTGATGCCACACAGCTAAATACAAGTCTTTGAAAGGTATTGGTTTCACCCTCAAAATCAAAGGCTAATTGGTAGCAGAATGCATGAGCTTTGGAGTGGAAGGTTGTTGCTGGAATGATTAGTGTTGGTGCCAATTCTGAATTTGCCCTCTTACACAGCTGGGGAGCTGATGAACAAACCTTGCTATGAAACAGAAGCAAGTTAGAAAACACAAGGGGCAGCTCTAAGTCAGAAGCCACTGTCTTTCCACACACCCACATCCAGGTGGCCAGAACTACCCAACGGCCCACAATGAGGCCATCTGGGGCCTCCTCCATCACAACCCTGCCACCATGCATTGGCTGTTGCCTTGTTGCTTATTCTGGACTGACCAGCACAGCCTAGCAGCACCACAAAGAGCGGCCCTGGGCACCAGAGCTCTGGAGGTGGGCATGAAACTATTCTGCTTCCTACGGAGCTCACATTGACACACCATGTTCTGTCGTGGATCCGCATCCACCTCCCATCACCAAAGTGCCTGAGCATGGCTGCAGGTGAAACACGTGTCGCTCTGAGTGAAAACAGCATTCCTCACACAGCTGACAAGGCTGTGACCTTTAGCAATGCAAACACGGTAGTAATGCTAGAGTAGTCATTAGCAAATTGACTAATAACATCCATCAAATTGTTCTTTTGAGAAATAGCTTGTGGCAGCAAAGAAGAGCGAGACAGGAGCCTGAAGCAGCTACCTAGAGCATGTCATTGGAAAGGAATATCAAAGATATCTCAGGTGCTGATCCAGCCTGCTGCACCACTGCTTCAACTTAAACTGTTTGTAGCTCTCACTTCATTTTCCCAAGCACAGGTACCAGTCCTTCACTGTAACTGCCTCTAGCCAGACCCTTCTCACCAACTTTAGCAGAAGTGTGACACATATAGGTACAGAGGGTGGTGAGGGCTTGCAGTGCTGCTGCGCAGCTTGGGTCTCTTTAAAGCACAAAGCTCCTCAGCCCAAAGTGTAGAACATTTGCAGGGATCCAAGTCGCTTACAAGCAGTAAGCACATAACACAGAGGTGACTCTGCAGTGGAAATCCAATACCAGCCCACCTCGCCAGCTGGACAGCCACCTGCACGGCTCGCTGCGGGCGGGCTCCATCCAAGGGGCCACATCCTGGACTTACCGCTCTCGTACTTGCAGCTGCTCAGGTTAATGGATGGGACGCTGGAATTGAAACAGACGACACAAGAGCTGCTCAGTAAGGCGACCAGTCCGAGGGGAGCGGGCACAAAGGAGACAACTGTCCTCCACCACACCCGCACACCGCACACAGCTAACTGCCAGGTCTGGCCGGTCAGCGCGGGCTACGAGGCGGACGGTCCCAGCCCCGCGCCGTTCCTTAGGAGGCCGCACGCGCTGGGGCGGTTCGCATTCCCGCAGGGGCTCCGACCCGCCCGCAGGATCCCAGCCCGAGGGCTGCAGGCCCGGACGCCCCAGGCACCCCGGGCCGCTCCGCCTGCGGACCCCGCAACAGACACAGGAACGCGGTGTGCACACAGACAGGCTTTATGTGCGCAGCACGGCCCGGGCAGCGCAGCTCTCGCCAGGCGGGCGGACGGACGAACGGACACACGGACGGACGCACGGACGGACGCAGGCCGAGGGCCGCGGGATCGGGCCGCCTCCCCCCGCCGCACTCGCCTGCACTTCCTCCGCTTCTTCCGCGGTCTCGGGCTGCAGGCGGCAGCTCCGGGCTCGTTCCCGGATGCAGCGGACCCGCTCAGAGCCGCCGCCCCCGAGCCGCCGCCGCCGCCTGCCTCCATGTCGCCGCTCGAGGCCGCCGCCGTTCCCATGGCGACGGGGCAGCGGCCTCCGCTCGACCATAGAGAGCCGGGCACAGCCGGCTAGAGCGGCCCCGGCCCGGTCACGCGGTCGCAACCGCCGCGCCCCCCGCGGGCAGCGCCCCCGGCGCTTCGTCCTCCAGCAGCCGCGCCAGGTCGGCAGCGAGGCGGCGCATTTCCGGTTCCGGCAGCAGGGGCCGGCGGATGGCGCGCAGCGCTTCGGTCTCGCTGAGCTCCTCGAAGACGGCGGCCGTGGGCACGGGCAGGTGTCCGGCCAGCTCGCACAGCGCCACGTTGAAGGCCGCGCCCTCCTCGGCCTCGAAGCGCGGCCTCCTGGGCCACAGCAGCAGCCGCAGCCCCGCGCCGGGCCCGGCCGAGCCGTCTGGCGGGGCGCCCCGCGTCACGAAGACGTTGTAGGCCAGCCCCAGGGCCAGCAGGCGGGCGGCCGCCGTGCACGCGTCCCGGGCCAGCGCCTCCAGGCCGGCGCCCGCCGTGTAGAAGAGCAGCGCCGGCGCCGGGGCCTCGTGCAGGAGGCTGAGCCCCCGCGCGGGGCAGAGCGGCTCGGCCGGCGCCGTCTCCACCAGCAGCGGGTGGGCCAGGTAGAAGCCGTGCAGATGCAGGTGGTTGACGGAGGCGGAGGCCCCCAGGCTGTTGAAGCCCACGCGGAAGCCGGGCTGGGCGCTGAGCAGCACGGCCTCCAGCCCTACGCGCAGCAGCTCGGGGGTGAGGACTTGCGGCAGGCGCAGCGTCGGCTCCGGCAGCAGCAGCACGTGGCCGCGCTCCAGGGGGCTGACGTTGATCGCCACCAGCACGTGGTCCGCTGCTGCCGGGTCGCTCTCAGCCGAAGGTCTCCGGCGCAGGCGCAGCAGCACCTCCCCAGGGCGGATCTGCGTGAAGTTGAATTGCTGAGGGTCGAAAGGCTGCGTCAGGCTGCGCACTGCCTGCGGCCGCCTGCGCTCGGTGCTGCGCTGCGCGTTGAGCTGGGCCAGCAGGCGCATGGTGCCGGGCAGCACGCGGGTGGGCAGCTCCGCCAGGTGGTACCGGAACAGCCCCCGCGCCATGCGCTCCTGCCAGGCTCCCAGCAGCGCCCGGTCGAAGCGGGACAGCGCGGCGCCCGGCCAGGCGACGCCCTCCAGGATGAACTCATCCTCGTGGTACGCGAAGTCCTTGGGCTGAAGGGAGTCCTGCAGCTGCTCTCGGTGCTCGCCGGTCCCCGCTGCCATGCTCGGTGCCACCGGGAACCTGACGGAGGGGAACGCGGGCACGAGTTGGCCGACCCCGCCCCAAGCGCTGCCCTCCGCCCCGACGTTCATCCCATCACCCGCAGCACCCGCTCTGCCCCAGCCCGCGCGTCCCGCCGATCTCCCACCCATCGCACCACGCACCTGCGCTCCCAGCGGGTGCCGCGCGGGGCCGGGGGCGGTGCTACGTGCAGCGCGTACCCAGCCCGGGGCGGGACGTTGCTACGGGAGCGGCGGAGTGACGTGAAGGGCGGAAGCGGCGCCGGGCGCCATGGGGGCTTCCAGCAGCCTGCTGCCACGGGAGGCGCTGGGGGAGTACCAGGTGGGGGGGATGTCGTGTTGGGGAGCTCGGGGGGGGGAGGGGGGAAGGATCACAGGGTGGGGGCGGCGAAGGATGGGGAATCTGTGGTCTCGCGTCTGGGGAGCTCCCGGCTCTGTGGGACCCGGGGAACGGGGGGAGTCCACGGCTGCGGCGGGGGCCGGGGCGGTGCCTCTTCCCTCGGCGCCCCCCGGGCTGACCCGCGATCTCCCCGCAGGAGCTGACATTCCTGAACAAGCAGGAGATCCTGCTGTAAGTGCCGGGGCGGGGGCTCTGCGGGAGGGGGGCTCAGCCCTGGGCAATTTCCCCGGGCTGCGGGCGCCGCTCACCCTGGGGAACTGCTTCCCGTGGGGGGTGGGCGGGCAGCGCGGAGCTGGGCCGGGCCGTTTTCGTGACCCCGGGGTGCGAAGTGCGCGGGTGCGGCCTCGCCGGGCGGGGCGCGCGGCTCCGGGTCCGAGAGAGCGGCTCCGGCTGCGCAACGGGACCGCTCCTGGACGGGGCGGGCAGCGGCTCCGGCCCTGCGCGGTGCCGCCTGGGGGCCGCGCTGCCCCCGCCCCGGGGCTGCCCCGCGTGCTCCCGCACAGAGCGACCCTTGTTCTCGCCTCCTCAAGTGCCTACAAGAGGTTCAGTGAGCTGCTGCCAAAGGAGCAGAGGGAGAACGCCTGCTCTGTGCGCGTTCCCAAGAGCCAGATCCTCACGCTGCCGGAGCTGCGGGTACGGTACCTGGAGCGGGCCGGGTGGGCAGGCTCACCTGCCGAGCACTCTCGGTGCTGGGAGCGTGCCGTGCGCGTTGTGTGGCACCGTGGATTGCTTCCTCGGCCCTGTGCAGAGCAGCCCCGCAGCCCTGCTGTGTGATGGCGCGGCTGCGCCGGGTGGGATGGGCTGAGATCGGAGCGGAGCTCTGCTCTTTGTGGCTCAGTGCCAGCCCTGCCAGAGCCTTCCCTGTCCTGGCAGGCAAACCCCTTTCAGCACCGGATCTGCCGTGTGTTCTCCACCTCAGTGGATGGGGACGACAGCCTGTCCTTTGAAGACTTCCTCGACATGCTGAGCGCCTTCAGTGATGCTGCCACCTCAGATATCAAATCCAACTACGCCTTCCGCATCTTTGGTAACCCTGGGTGTGACGTAGTGTCCTGGGAACCCACCCACTGGCTGGGGACAAGGACTGGCAGTGCCTTTAGTGTGCCCGTGGGCAGCTTTGGGGACACCTTCTGTACTTGGAGCTGCCATGCCCATGAGTTGTCCCAGCCCCCTCTCAGCATGGGTGCTTTGTGACTGGGCCCCACAGAAACATAACTTTCTTCTGCCCAAAGACTTTGATGAAGATGGGGTCCTGGACAGAAAGGATTTGGAGAAGCTGGTGAACTGCCTGACAGGGCAAGGCGAGGAGACACGGTTGAGTAGCACTGAGATGGAGCAGCTCATCCGTAATGTAAGGACCTGAGCTAGGCAGGGAGCACTGCATGGTCCCGGCCCCAGAGAGCTCAGTGCTCACTGCTTCTCCTGCAGGTCCTGGAGGAGTCTGACATTGACAAGGATGGCACCATCAACCTCTCTGAGTTCCAGCATGTCATCTCCCGCTCCCCAGACTTTGTCAGGTATGTGGCTTTTAGCAGCACAAGAGGTCCCAGGAGTCAGCCCACCCCGCTGCTGTGCTGGCTTTGGGGCAGCACTTAGAGCAGCAAGGCAAGGCCACCCCTTAGAAGTTCCCTTAGGAACTTCCTCCTGCACTGTACTCATCTGTACAGGAGCACAGCACATGCACAGAGCTGGTTGCTCGCAAACCACTTCTCATGCAGCAAGGAGGTGCTGAACGTGTCTTATCTCTTACAGCTCCTTCAAGATTGTCCTGTGAGGGCCTTGTGGTTCTCCTGCAGATCTGCTTCTCCAGCTGCTGCAGCCCTTTGTTATCTCAGATGTTCCCTCTTCTTCTGAGGAGAGCAGCTCAGGCCCTGCTCCTTCCCAGCCTGGCAGTGCTGCACCGTGCTGCGCCGTGCTGCAGGGCAGGACTCTGCTCCCCCAGTGCCTGGTGGGCTTGGTTACAGGTGTCCAGACAGCCCCATGAGGATCCACCACAGACAGCAGCTCGGCTGTCCCAGCAGCATGTTTTTATTCCACACAAGCACAGCTCTGTGGTGGATTGGGGCAGGCACAGAAGGTGCCACAGTGCATCAAGCACAGCCCCTCTCACCACCCACAGTACCATATGTGCCTTCTGCTGCTCTTCCATAGGGCCTTTCTGCACCCTGGGGGGCAGTCTCTCGAAGCAATAACCCAATTGCACTCTGGATGTGCCATGCCGGCAGTGCTGTCCCTTTGCTGCCCTGGGGCACGGGGGCTGCACTCCTTGCTTCAGCACCAATACACTCAGGGTCTGTTCTCATTTTCCAGTTCTTTCCTCTCTGCCTTAGGCTTGTGCTCAGCCAGTGCTTTGCCTGGTGCAGGCAGGGCCTGGCCCCTTCCTTTGTACGCTGGAGAGGACAAATAAAGGGCTCTGGTTTCACCCCCAACCTGGTCCTGCTGCCAGTGGCCTTTGTCTCGTGTCAGGGGAGGGAGGAGCGGGGTGTGAGTGCTGCAGGACCACTGCCAAGATGGTGCTGGGGATGTGGCCCCCTGCCAGCCCCAAGCAGCTCCTGGGAACAGTGGTCACAGTTCAGCAGGAGGCAGGTCCTAGTCCTGCTGGGGAACAAGCTCAGTGCACGGTCCCTCCCTCCTTGGGAGAACCAGAGGCCGTTCCCAGAGCGCTTAGCAGGCACTGCACAAAGAGCTCTGCTCTCTAGCAGGAGGCACAAAGGGAAATCCAGGGCAAGCAAGCAGTACCTTTGCTGTGGGCCGCGCAAGGGCTCTTTGTGTCTGTTCATCCAGCGGGCTTGGTGCTGGCTGGCTGCCATCTGGGAACAGCTCTGTTCAGGGAGCCTGCAGCATTCCCTAGCAGCACCATGCTGAGACAGCTGCAGTGCCTGGTGCTGCTGGATCCCCAGTGCTGCTGGATCCCCAGCCCCAGCTTGCTGCTGTTTCTCACGTCCTGGCTGCTTGCTCCCAGTGGTGCGGGTCCTTCCAGCTCGCTGCCCCGCAGCAATGATGCTATCTGCCTGCCACAGCCTGCGGGCCGTGTCTGCTGGCACGGCACCAGCCGACGCCTCCGGTGGCTTTTTTGATGTCCCAGAACAGGCTGGGCAGGAAGGGGGAACACTGTCCTGGTGGGAGTGAGCCAGTGCAGGTCCCAGGGAAGCCTGCCCCAGCACACTGGCTTCGTGCGGAGCTCACTGCTTCCCAGGCACGAGGCAGATAAGAAGCACTGTGCCATGCTCTAAAGCTGCTTCCCCACATCATGCAAGTGGGGCCTCAAAACAGCACGGCACTGCTGCAGACCTGCAGCACCCTACAGCAGGGTCACAGGGATCCTGTTCTGGAGCTGTGTGCTGGCACAGCCTCACACAACAGCCCCATGCACCATCATGCCTGCCCCACACACAGCCATGCATGCCTGGCCCACAGGAGCCAATGGGATGGGCCCAGCTCTGGGAAGGGGCCCCGGTTCCACACCTGCAGGCACAGCAGCACACACATGTACAAAGGAAACACCTGGACTTTAGATAAAAACCACAGACGTTTCTGCACACGCACATCGGGGACATGAGATACGCAGCACAGTGCTCCATCCCGGCACAGGGTGAGCACCTCTGTCTGCTCCCTCCCCAGGACACAATTCACATTTTCAACGTATTAAAAACGAACCAAGCACAGACACACACCACATCCACGTGGCCACCACGCACCAGCACCACCCGGCCGCACACGCGGCTCCGGGCCCCCAGCAGGATGTCACAGTGAGTCGGGGCGTGAGGGGGCTGCGGCCGCCCCCAGCCCTCTGCATAGACGGGGCTGTGCCTGCGCGGGGATGGGGGGAAGTCCAACCATCCCCACAAGGCGTGCGGTACCCTCTGCCGGCCCCATCCCGAGGCGGTGCCCAAGACCCCCCCCCCCAAACCAGGGTGGGCGGCGCGGCGGGGCCGGGCTCCAGGCATGCACACACAGACGAACACCGATCCCAGCCGGCGAGGCTCAGCAGAGCAGAGGTGGTGCGCGAAGGCTGTCCGTCCCCTCACACCACCGAGTCCTGGATCTCGGAGCCCAGGCGCACGCGGGGTCTTTGGCAGGCGGGGGACACCTCCACAAAGCTGTCCCGCACGTGGAGGGGCCGCTTCTCCGACTCGGAGAAGGTGCGTGTAGTGCCCGGCGGCTCGTGCACGGGGGTGCTGACGATGTAGTTGTCCTGCAGCGCCTGGTAGCCCTTGTGCTCGGGCGCCGTGTTGGGCAGGCTGCTGCCGTTTAGGGGCAGGCTTTCCACCGGCTTACGGGGCGTCTTCTGGTGCCGGCTGGCGTCCCCGGGCTCCACCAGCGCCTTCACGCCGTCGCAGTGACGGTGCAGGAGGAAGAGGATCAGCACCAGCACGGCGGCGGCGAACAGCCCGCACATCACCAGGAACTCGGTCCAGTAGGTCTTGCCGTCCAGCCGAGCCGCGATGCTGCCCACGGCCGAAGTGCTCCGCGAGGTGCTGACGGTCTCCGGCGCGGTGAAGCCCCTCCTGCCGGGCTCCTGCACAGCCACGCAGTAGCTGGCCATCAGCTTGCGGAAGCCCTCCTCCAGCGACCAGCACTCGTATGTGCCCGCACGCTCCGGGCTGCCCACCAGGATGAGGGCCCCCTCGGGCAGCACCAGGTAGGAGGCATTGACGGGGGTCCCGTTGTGCAGCCAGCGCCGCGACGCCAGATTGGAGAGCAGGCGGCACGGCAGCGGCTGCACCGCATTGGGTGGCAGCTGGATCCGTTGGCACGGATTGCCCGAGGCTGCGGGAGAGAAGCGGGGACGTCACCGAGGCTGCGGGACCTGGCACCGTGGGCGCTAGGGGGGACAAGCAGGATCTCACCTGGAGGCAGGAGGACGCGGGGCCGGGGCTGGGACACGTTGGCTGGTTGGCAGAGCCGCTCTGTCTCGGCGCCTTCGATGTCCTGGGCCCACAGCCTGAGGCAGAGAGGGGGGTCAGGGGTCTGGGGGCTGCAGAGGGAGAGCAGCTCTGAGGAAGACGGAGCACTGGTGGGTGCAGCACTTACTGGGGGTGTGCCGGGGGGTGCGGGGTAGCGCTCCGGCAGGCGCCGTGGCTCCAGGCACAGAAGGGGTCCCGTGCCAGCACACACTCACCGCAGCTGCGGTACAGGCTGCAGTTGGAGAAGGGCACCTGAGCCACCGCCGTGTAGGAGGCTGCATAGACCAGGCCCTGTGGGGAGGAGGCACAGCAGTGTCAGTCACACCACCCCAGTGCCTGCAGTGGGAATGGACCCCACGTGCCTGAATCCTCGTGGACTCCCCTGCCCTGGGCTTGGAGTTGCAATTTCCAGCACGGTGCAGTTCTGGCAAGGATGGGAAGACAACCCTTAACCCACCAGCAGGTTCATACCCCACGCCACCCCCCCACCCCAGCCCCCCTGTGCTCGGCTCCTGCCTGTTCATGGTCCAGCAGCAACTGCAGGATGGGCTGGCCAGTGGGGAAGAGGCGGATCTCCTCGATGATGTGCACCCGGTGGTTCACACGCACCGCCTTGTGCAAGCGGCCGTCATCTGCAAACACAGCGACTGTGCTGAGCGGGGCTGGGGGCACACAGCACCCACCCCCGCATGCCGCCCAGCCCCCTGGGATGCACCCACCAGTGCCCAGGAAGAGGACATCGTAGGTGCCGCGCAGCCCCTGCACGCGGTGCACGCCGATCTGCTGGTAGCGCAGGCGGCTCTGCAGCAGCAGCGGCTGGCTGCGCACCGGGCTGTCCATCAAGAAGTGGTCTTTGACAAAGTTCAGCACACGGTCCGGCATCTGCAGGGACGAGTTGATCTTCAGGTGCCGCGTGTGGCTGGTGATGCACTGTGGAGAGAGCGGAGGTTGGCCGGAGCCGCAGGTGCTGTGCTCCCAGGAGCCGGGCAGGATGAGGCTGCCCCGTCCCACTCCCACACGAGCACCCCGAGGTGCGCACCGTGCCTGGCCGTGGTTCTGGTACCGGGCTGGTGTCAGTGTACCACTGCTGCGTCTCACGGTTCACCTCCTTGTAGAGCCCACCAAAGGCCTTCTGCACGCTATGCATGGGGAAGGCGCACACCGCCGAGCTGCCCAGGCCGCCCTTGTTCCTGGCAGGGAGCAGCACATGGCAGGGTCAAGCACTGTGACTTCGGGAACCTGAATGTGGCCAAGACCCCCCGCGCTGCCCCAGGCAGCACTGCTGGTCCTGCCCTGCGCTCACCACTGCGACGTGAAGACCCCGTAGAAGAGCGTCTCCCTCCAGCGCTGCTCCCCGGGCGTGAGCACAAAGACGTCCTGCAGCACGTTGAAGGGGAAGCCGTCCTCGGGGTGCGAGCAGAGCAGCTGCGCCTTCAGGAACGTTGTCCACCGCCGCTGCAGGACCCGCTCCCCACCCTGGTCCCCCTGTATGGGCACTGGGGGTCAGGGCACAGGCAACGGTAGTGCAGCCACCTCACGGAGGGAGCCCCTGAGATGCCCCCCCATGTCGGCGAACAGTGGAGGGCTCTGCAACTCATGCTGCTGCACCAGGATCACAGACAGAGCAGCTCAGTTTTGGGGAGGTGCAGGCAAAGCAGCGATCCCAGGAGAAGGGAAATGCGGTGCAGGAGGAAGATAGGTCTGTGTGCCCTCCAGCAAGGGGGCAGAGTTGGTGAGGAAAGGCACTGCGGAGCTGGAAGTGCCCTGGAGGGGTCTCCTGCAGGTTCCTTCCCAGAGTGTCTGGGAACCAGCAGACAGAGATACATACGCAGGGCAGTCCCACGTCCTCCCCACACTCTAGGGGTGAATTCTCCCCCACCACATCCCCACTGCCTTGCACCCACCTTGCACACACGTGCGATGCGCGACACAATGGTGTTCTCAAAGTAGTCAAACTCCTTGCCGGTCTCGCTGAAGAAAAAGTAGACCTTGTCATCGTCGCCATCGGGGTTGCCAGTGGGCAGGCTCTCCTGCAGGAAGGCTGAGCCCACGAACACCGGGTCTGGGAGAACAGCACACTCAGCATCGCTCACTTCCATCCCAGTGCCTCCCGCAGCCCATCGTCCCGGCCCTGGCTCTTACCCTGCAGCCAGCTGAGGGAGTTCTCTGTCTTCAGGGAAATGCGGCTCTCCTGGCTGCGGTAGATGGTGGGCTCGTTGCCCTGGAAGTTGCTGACAGTCCCAGCGTAGAGCTCTCCATCTGCCAAAGAGATGCTGTGCTGGGACCCAGCCCCGCAGCCCCACTCCCCACGGGGGCTGCTGTGGGATCACAGCCCCGCTCTGTTCTAGTGGAGCTGCAGGTGCGTGCCTTACCGACCATGACGGCGGTGGAGCGGTACTCGGGGTCGAAGGGGCAACGTCCCTTCCCATCCTCCAGCAGCACCCTTCCCAACCCATCCCGCTCCAGAGTGAAGTGCTGCATGTTCTGTAAAGGAATGGGGCTGTGAGCCGGGGGCAGGCCACAGTGCCCGCCACTCCCACTCCAGGAACCCCATCTTCTCCCCAGCTCACAATGTAGGCGCAGGTGGGGCTGAAGGCACAGGTCCCACATGTGTAGAGGTGGGTGCTGTTCAGCTGCAGCAGCATCTTGATGTAGTTGTGACAGTCCCTCTGCAGGGGAGAGAGACACGGCTCAGCCACCCTGCACACGGGCACCGGCCCAGCCCAGGCGGCCCAGCCCAGGCAGCACAGCCCAGGCACCAGGGCTCACCTGGGGGTCCTTGCCCTTGAACACGCACTGCCTCTTCTTCTCCTCATCTGCACCCCAAGGCAGCTGCAGAGAGGGGACGGTCACTGAGAGCCCAATCACCAACTGCCCCCCAACACCCCTCTACGATCCCAATATCAGTGGCTCCACTTGACCCCACTCCAGACAGATCCCAGCAGCCGGGTCTGAGCACCCGATGCTGGCACAGATGGTGCAGCTCCCTCTGCATTGCCCTGACTGGCTGCAGAATGCACCAGGACCCCACGCCAGAGCTGGGCTCAGCGTCCCCAGCCCTCTTCATGGACTTGTTTTGGCAGCGTGCACATGGGCTCACCCTGTGGGCCAGCATGCTGTGCTGGAAGCGGCTGGTGTTGACAGCAAAGAGTACCTCCCGTGCACCCAGGTACAGCGTGCCGCCATCCGGGCTCAGCAGCAGTGCTGTGTAGTTGGAGACGCCAGGCACCTCGAAGCGCTGCACCACACGCTCAGCTGAGTCTGCAGGGGGACAGCGAGGGATCAGCACCGCGCAGCACTAGGGGCCACGAGCACCAGGTTGGTGCTGCACCGTCTGGGAAACGCAGAAGGAAGCAGATACTGCAGAAGGACCAGATCTCCCAGCCTTGGCTGCCAGTGAGGGCTGGGCTACCGCACCTCAGAACTGCCACAAACCACGCACAGCCATAACAACACTCGAGGGCAGAGTCTGAACTGCCACGGCATCCTGACCCCTGGGAACAGCCTGGGGGCTCACAGCCCCACTGCCCAGCCCCGGGGTCCCTTCCCACAGAGCTGGGGGCAGAGCTCCCTGGCCATGCCCCAGCAGCTCCCCGCACCAGGCTGGTGCAGTGGCTGCCAGCCAGGGCAGGCAGATCTGTCCCGTGTGGGTGGCCCAGTCCCGGAAGCCCTTCTCTCAGCCAGCAGCCCTCTGAATCAGAGCACCCAGCTGTGTCAGCGGGACACGTCGGGCTTACTCACGCTGCCAACTCCCTCACCCCTGACCCACAGCTCACTGGGAAGCCCCGACCAGCCCAAAGCCCTGCCCGGAGTCAGCTGCCATGAGCTGTGCCCGGTGCCAGCAGTACTGCTGGGGCAGGACCCTGCTCCTCTCCCTGCTTCCTGCTGTCACCGCGAGGAGTGCAGTGGTGATGCTGTCACGGCCCGACAGGGACAAAGCACTCCCAATCCAGCCCCCCACTGGCACCAGCTCTGTTGTGCCTGCAAGCTCTCTGGGCTCCCCAGAAGGCACGGCTGTGTGGCACAGCCTTTCCCCAGCTCTGGCAGTCTGGGCACAATCCAGGGCACTTGGCTCAGTGCCTGTCCTCAGCCATCGCCTACCTTGCAGTAGTAGAGAGGAACAGGGATGCACCTGGGGGGGGCTGCATCCCTCCGAGGGGTCCCATGCCCGGGCACAGGGTGATACCACTCACAGTGGACACAGTGCAAAAGGGCAGCGGGGCCCCTGCACCCCACAGAGCTCACCCAGCCCAGAAGCTCTGAAGCCTGTGCTGGCTGCCAGGGGGACCTGTTAGGACAAGACCTGCTTCTTCCAGACAAACCTGCTGGAGGCACATCCTGCCACTCAAGGGGAGCAGCTCACCTGCTCCTCCCCCTGCCAACCAAGAGCCCCACACAGGAACCACTGCTGGGTGCACGCTGGCCAGCCTGCACCCCCCACCCGCTCCTTTGGTGAGGGTGCATCCAGGTCAGGACACCGAGGTTCTCCCTGTAGCTTTGAGCCCAGGCTGCAGCGCCTGCTTGAGCACCGGCTGCAGGAGGGCAGAGCTGGGCCAGAACTGGTTTGTGCAGGCACAGGGGGCACAGCGCTGGGCTGTCCCGCTGCCTCCCATGGCTCCCATCCATCCCACCCCACTGATCTCACATCTGCTGGTGCCACTGTGGCTGTAGATGGCCGTCCCAGGAGCATGTGGCAAGGCCACGGCCACGTCAAAGAACCGCAGCACACGGAGCCAGGCAGTGTTCCTGTGCCAGAACCATCCTGACCCAAAGCCACCGCACCCTCTCAGCTGTCCCCAGCCAGGAGACAGCACAGGACAGACACTGCTCGCAGCAGCAGCTGGATTTGTCCACCTCCTGGGAGCAAAGTGATCCTCACCACTTGTGGGCCGCCCACACCACAGCTGCAGTGCCAGGCAGGGCGGCCAGCCCCAGCTGCCCCCAGCAGTGTCCCGATGCTGACGCCCGATGTCACCGCAGGCACACGGCCACAGGCAGCAGCCAGGAACGGCCCTGCAGGGTGAGGGCGCTCTGCCTGCCAGGACCCCGCTTATCCTGGGCTGTCCATCCCTGGTAACAGCACAGAGCGGGACCAGCAGGACCCGGAGCCCCCACGGCCGGGCATAGCAAGAGCCTGTGCAGAGCGCCGGCACGTGTGGTCGTGGGGGGTCACACAGGCAGCGACCCCGGCTGCTGCAGTGCAACCGGAGCACGTGAACAGCCCCCCGCGGCCGGCTTGCCCTCTCCCACGCCCTAACAGCCCCGCACACGGGGACACAAACACCCGCCCGGCCGCTGCTCCCTGCTACCGGCACCCACGGAGCAGCGAGCCCCAGCTTGCCGGGCCGGCTGGGAGTGTTGTGCAGGCTCAGAGCCCCGCGGGCTGTCACAAGGCGTTTCCACGCCGGAGCGGCGGGGCCAGCTCCGTCCCACGGTCGAGGGAGGCCAACCCGCACCCCGCACCCCGTTCCAGCGGGCGAGGGCATCCCGCACCCCCGGGCCGGCGGTACCGCGGGACGCGCGGGGCAGCGCCCGCCGTCGGGGCTCCCCGCCCCCCCCCCCCCGAGGGGACCATCGGGGGGGGTCGGGCGGCCCCAAGCCCACCCCTCCTCATGGCGGACACTCACCATAGGGCAGACTGACCCGCGGCACGGGCTCCTGCGCCGCCGAGAGCAGCAGCGCCGCCAGCACCGAGTGCGCCAGGACGGGCAGCGCCGGCCGCGGCACCATGGCGAGCCGGGCCGGGCCGGGCCGGGCCTCCGCCGCGTCCCGCGAAGCCGCCCCGGGCACAGCAGACCTGCGGGGAGAGAAGGGGCTCAGCGGCGCGCTCGGCGCGCTCGGCACGGCGCGGCTCCGCCCCCGGCCCGGCACCGCCCCGCCCCGACCCGCGGGGCTCCCGGCGACACGCACGGGGCGACGGGCGAACCGAGCGCGGGTGCCTTCCGCCGAGCCCGCCGTCCCACCCCGGCGGGACCCGAACCGGGAAGAGGGAGCAGGCAGAGCCCCGCCCGCGGCACCCGGTGCCGTGAGCTTCCGCAGGCGGGCCCCGCTCCCACCGGGCAGCTGGCCACAGCCAGGAGGGCACGGCCGTCCCACGCACCGGCAGCCCACACGCCGGGGCCGTCCCCGCAAGGCTCGTCCAGCCGCAGCGCGTCCCGGGGCTGCTGGCAGAGCGGGGAGCGCCGCTGCTCCCGGAGCCCCTCGGTGCATTTGCGCCGTCTGTGCCGCCCCGCGAGTTGCGGCCGGGGGGCTCCGCTCGGCCCGACGCTCGCTGCCGCGCCCGGGGAACGACGGCATCCCTGGAGCGGCCGTGCCGGCCCGTCCCACGGCTAAAGCTCGCGAGCAGCAGCCCGCAGTGCGGGGCACCGTTCCGCCTCCCCACCGGTCCGTCCCCAGGGGGACTGGCACGGCCCTGGCTGGGTGCGTGCGTGCGGGGTACCGTCGAGCCGTACCGCAGAGCCGCTTCCAGCCCTGAGCCGTGCGGGCCTATGCCAGAATGGGGGGTTCTTGCCGAAGCACACGCAGACCCCCGGAGAACCGCCGCGCTCGTCCAGCGGTTGCCATGGCAATCGGTTATTAATGACAGCTGCTTGTTTTGCCATGGCAACGAGGGGAAAGGGGAAAGGGTCTCCTCGGCAGTCCTCCTGGGGCCGAGCTCGCCGCCCCCTCCCGTGCTCAGGGTTCATCTCCCCGCTGCTCGCTCGGCCGTCTCGGCCCCGCACCCCTGGGCCACCGCCACCCCCAGCGGGACCGTGGGCGAACCTTCCCCGGACCGTGTCCCGCGCCGTCCCTGCTCCCCGCTCACCCGCACCGCCCGCTGTGGGGCCGTACCTGGCGCCCAGGGCCGGGGCAGCGTCACTCCGCCTCGCTCCGCGTCCCGGCTCTCCTCCCGCTCCCGCCGCTTCGCAGTCCCTTCCTGGGCCCGGCCGGCTCCACCCCGCCGCCTTATCAGCACCCTTTGCCCGGGAAGTGCCACAGACGGGACGCGTTCTGCGTCACGCAGCGGGGCAGCGTCACGCCGCGTGGGGTACGAGCACTGCCGCTGCCCCCGCAGCGCCGTCCCACGGCACCGTGGGGATCCCCGCGGGGTTCCGCGGACCCGGACATCGCCCACGCGTGGCAGCCGCAGCGCGGTGCCCGGAGCCCCGGGGCGACGGCCCGCAACAGCGCGAGCCCTGCGGGAAGGGTGGGCCGGGAGACAAAGGGGCAGGGAGCCCCGGGAGGGCAGCGAGCGGAGCAGGAGCGAGCCCGGAGCCTGCGCCTTTAAGCGCCGCTGGAACGGCCCCGCGGCCCGCTGCTGGCAGCCCGGCCTGTTTACGCCGAGCTCCCATTTATCTCCTCCGCCTGCCCACGCAGCGTGCCAGCACGGGGGGCACCCGCGGCTCCGCGTCCCCCGTTAGGGCGTGTGCGTGCGTGCGTACGTGCCTGCCTGCCCTGCCCGCACACGGCCGTGTCAGCCCAGCACCGGCCGCAGCGGTGGAGACGGGGGCACAGCTCGGGGTGCGGGGCTGGGCAGAGCCAAACCCGCGGCCCGGGGTCAGCTGCGGGCGGGGATGCCGTGTTCGCACCGAGTTCCCACGCTGAAGCCCTCCGCTCCCTCGGAAGCCAACGCGAGGCCACGCCGCGCTGCTCTTCCCTGCGTGCTCCGGCCCTGCTCGGCGGCCGGCCTGCCGCAGGCACGGTGCGGGCGCATCGCCGGCTCGGATGGAGCCCACGTGCGGCCCTTCGTCCCGCCCCGCGTCACCGGGGATGTCGCGCGCACCCCCGGCTCGGCTCGCCCTGGAGCTGCCAGACAGCCTGGAGCCGCCCCGCAGGACCCTGCGCCGCCCCCTCGGCTGTGCGCGCAGAGCGGGAGCGCGCATCAGGCACACCTGCAGCCGTGACGAGCGGTGCTGATGCGCGCACAGATCCTCCCGGCTCAGCTGCTCTGCTGGCGGCCCCAAGCGTGCATTCCATGAAACGGGGCTTCCTCGGGCCCGCAGCCGTGGCCACGCGGGATGGGTTGGCGGCAGCACGCCGGCCCTCCCTGCTTCGCTGCGCCCGGCTGGCAGCAGAGAGAGGCCCCGCTTGGAACCGGCGCCCACCCCGCAGAGCGTGAGGCCCGGGAACTGGAGCACCGCACACCCCTCAGGGGGCGGGGATGGGGCGGCTCCGAGCTGCATGCAGAGTGCAGGAAGGAGGGGGTCCTGGTGCAGGGATGTGTGACCCCTTCCTAGCCACCCTCGGCCCTGCAGAATCCAAACCAGTACTGCTGTCCTCGGCCCTGCTCCCCGCAGACACTGCAGTGCTCTTCATTGGAGTGCTGCCTGCAGGAAGAGGGGCTCCTGGAATCTAAGAGCACAGCACTGCGGGAGCAGACATCGGAGGCTGACACTGAGACCCTGAGACACCTGCGTGGCCCCAAGTGTCCCCCACCACTTCGAAGTCCCGTGGCTGCTGAACACCATCAGTGCGGTGTCTGCACACGCAGGACACGCAGTGCGCACACAGCATGCAGACGCCCTGCTCTGCACACATTCACACAGGTGGGACACACAATGCACACGTATGTCCCACGTGTGACAGAACAGACACAGCTCCTCACAGCCGACCCAGACGTGGCCATAACGCTGTGTGTGCACTTCCTGGGGCAGGCAGTGTGCAGAACACACCCCCACGTGCATGTAAACACACGCACGGCGCTTACGGGAGGCACCCGCCCCACACTGCAAACACCTGGAAACGCCCCAATGAATGCAGCCCCACACTGCTGCGGGCAGCAGTCCCCACACGCAGCCTGAGTGCCCCTGCACCACGCACTGTGTGCACACACACACGCATGGCACACACCCTTGCACACACGCAGGCCCTCTGCAACCTCCACGGTTCTTGCAAGCTCTGAGCAGCCGCTCCCACTGTACACATGCATCCGTGGGGATCCCCATCCGAGCGCACCCTCCCTTACACACCTCTTGTGCTCGATCACACACGCGCCCCCCAAGCCCGCACACAGGCGCTGCACGGTAGCACGAGCGCCCGCCCAGCAGCGTGCACACACACACGCACGTACACGCATCCCCCCGCACTCCTCCCTTGCACACACACACACACACACGCACCACGCCCGCCGCTTACCGGCTCGGGGCGCGGATCCCGCCTGCAGCGCGGGGCGGCTCCGGGGCTCCCCGCCCGCGGGGGGCGCGGAGCGGTGCGGGGCGGTGCGGGGCGGCTCCGTCTGCTCCGCCCGCCGCCTGCAACAAAGGGCCGCCCCGCCCGGCCCCTCCCCGCGGCTCAACACCGCCGGCAGCGCCGCCGCCGTCCGCCCGGCCCGGGTTCGGGGCGAGGAGGCGGACGTGGGGCGGTGTGCAGGAGAGGGGGGGTCCCGGTGCGGCGGTGCCGTCGGCCCCGGACGGTGCTGCTCCCCGCGCAGCGCTGCGTGAGAGCTGCGGGGAATGGGGAGCGGTTCTGTGGGTGCTTCCAGGGAGGGGCTGCTCTCGGGCAGCCCGGAGGCAGAGGTGTTGGCGATGTATGGCGGGTGCACGGACAACAGGGACGTGCGTGTGGCTGCGAGCATTGCCGTGAGGTCCTGGTGATGCCGCGTGGCTCCGGGCCTTTGGGCCAGCGTGTGGCTGCTGGCGTCTGCCCAGAGCCACGCACAGCCTGAGGCTGCTGGCCAAGTGCTGTCGGCGACCAGAGCTGCTGGAGACTCCCTGAGCTTTAGTGGGTACTTGGGGTGGCCCAGCACGGGGGTCCTGGGTGCTGAGCCCCACAACCCCTGAGCACAGCTGCAGTAACAGTACAGCCCTGATGGAGCCAAGCACCACGTGCAGCCTGCCAGCCTCAGCCCCACACCTCCGGTGGGCTCCTCATCCTTGCCATTTCACTTTCATTTTCAGCTGTGCCGTGTCCCTGAGCGCTGCCATCTGCCTGCTGTGCCACCGAGGCCTGGCAGCCCGGCTGCTGAGCTGCCATCACCGTGTTTCTGGAGCTGCTGTGCTGTCCTGCATGGCCCCGGCTGCTTCTGGACTCTGGGTGGCTCTCAGCTTTGGGTGCAGCGGGGTGTGCTGTGGGGCTAATGTGGGGGCTGTGGAGGGGCACAGATGACACACACCTCCTCCAGCCCCTTGTTATCCCTTGCTGGGGCACTCAAACCACAGCTGTCAGACTCCCCTGGCACACACTGCTCCCCAAGCAGCGCTGCAGTGTGGCCCCTGCCCTCGGCAACCCACGCTGACCCTACTGGGGCCACCCAGCTGTGCAAAGCTGCTGCAGCCAACTATGCTCTCCTTTGTTGGGAGGCCGTCCTTCCTGGGACGGTGCCACATGGCCGCTCCCCAGCAGGGCCGCACTGCCCTGACCTCGTCCCTGCCACGAGGTCACTGACCGCAGGGCGGCGGGGGGGGCAGCGCTGCGGCCGTGGGGCGGCCCCCGGATCCCTCCCATGACGCCAACACCCTGCCGTGGGGCAGCCCCACGGTGCCGGCCACGTGGCTGTGCGCAGCGTGAGCTGCAGTGGGTATGTTGGGGGCCCGAGTCCCCCACGCTGCCCTGGAGCGGTGGCCCCTGCAGCTGGCAGCCCCCCGCAGCTGGCAGCCTGCCGCCCGCAGCTCTGGTTAATGTTAAAGCCAGCGGACGTCACCGTGCCCGGCCCTGCCTCTCCCCCGCCGCCTCCTCCCTGCAGCCCCTCTGCTCGGGACCGCCTGTTGTTCAGCTCCGCTTCCCAAAGTGGGATCTGCCCAGCCTTCGTAGCTAAAAAAAGCCGCCCGCTGGCCTGAGCAGAGGGACAGCAAACCTCCACGCCCTGTCAGGCCGGCCGTGGGCACGCTGCGGGGTGTCTGTGGGGCACAGCGTCCCTCGTGCCAGGGTCAGTCCGGGCAGAGCTCCGCAGAGCAGCAGCGTTGCGTCCCGCTTGGTGCGGTGCCCACATCACGTGTTGGATCGCTCACTCCTATATAGGGAAAGCTCGGTGCCCTGTGGGCTGAGCTGGCAACACGTCCCCCAGATGTGCAGGCACCACATCCCCCCCAACCCCACAAGGGCACGGGGACATGCAGTGCACCCACCGCACCACCCTGTATGCCGTACCGCCGTATGCAGCCGGACTGTGCCGTGCCCCCCAGTATCTCCGCGGAGCAGGAGGGGGATGCACGCAGCCCGGGGGGGCCACACCACGCAGCGCTAACAGCCGATCCCCGCCCGGTCACCTTGTGCCTTGGCACCGCTCGTGCCCTGCATTAAGCGCACCCCGCTGCGCACCACGGGCTAACTGACGCCCTTAGGATTTCCACCGGGGGGTTCTATTGGTGCACCCCACAGGGCTACGGGGTGGGCGATGGGAGGGGGACGGCAACGGTTTACGTCCCCCTCCCCCCGTCCCGTGCGGGGCCCAACGCGGGGGTGCCGGGCGCAGACTTTTACGCACCGCCCCGGGGCGGAGCGAACCGCGTCCCCTCTCCGCCGCCTCCGCCGCCACCGCCGCCCCGTCGCGCCGCGCCATGGCCGCCCGCTGCCTCCGCGCTGTCCCGGCGCTGAGCCGCGCCGCCGGGCTGTCCCGCTGCCCCCCCCCCGCCGCCTGCACCGCGCTGGGACCCTCGGGGCAGCGGCGGCACTGTGAGTGCGGTGACCTCGGGGGGGGCGGAGGGGTGTCCTTTGGGACGGGGAGGGCGCGGGTTGGAGGGGTGCGGGGAGGGGACGCGGCGCGGTTCGGAGCGGTTCGGCACGGCTCGGCCCCAGCACCGTGTGCAGACGGCCCCGCCCCCGGCACTTCGCCCCGCGGGCCGTAGCGACCCGGATTGAAGACGGGACGGGACGGGACGGGGGGGGCTGCGCCCTCACCCAGCTGGCTTTGTGTCCCCATGGCCCCGAGGGTTTGCGTCGGGCCACGTCCCGCTCCCGCGTGGGGTTTTGCCCTTCATGTTGCACCCACGTCCTGAGCGGGGTTTGCACTGGAGCCGCTCCCAGACGGGTGGGGTTGTGCAGTGCTCCCACCATGTCTGTGCCATGGGTGGGGCCGTGGGTGGGACCCCAGTGAGGGGTGAGCCCCAACGCCCGGCACCCCGACCCGCACCCACACCGGACCCTCTCAGCCCCAACGCCCCGGCTTGGGTGGGGGGCTTTGTGCTCCAACCCATCGTGCCCCCACGGAGGGTTGCACCAAGCCTGATCCCGGCCCAGTCTGGCGCTTTGCACCTGAAGTGCACCTGGCCCCATGTGAGGTTTGTCCCCACGCGGTGCCCCATGACGCCGTGCTGCCGCCAGATGCCGACAGGCGGATCAAAGTGGCCAACCCGGTGGTGGAGATGGACGGCGATGAGATGACGCGCATCATCTGGGCCTTCATCAAGGAGAAGGTACGGGGCTGTGGGGGCTGTGGGGGCACGGGCGGCCCCTGTTCCCTGCAGGAAGCAGGTGGTGCGCACAGTGCGGCTTCCGGCATGCGGGGGGAAGGAGGGGGGAGGGGGCCGGGTTTGGCTGTACAGCTCTGCACTGTGCTGCTCTGGGACAGCCCTGCTCTGACCCTCCCCCCTCAGCTGATCCTGCCCAACGTGGACGTGCAGCTGAAGTATTTTGACCTGGGGCTGCCGCACCGGGACAAGACGGATGATCAGGTCACCATCGACTCGGCGCTGGCCACAAAGAAGTACAGTGTGGCCGTCAAGTGTGCCACCATCACACCCGACGAGGCCAGGGTGGAAGGTGGGAGGGGACTGGGGGGAGGATGTGGGACCCCGGTGTCACGGGGCTGGCTGTGAGTTGGGCGCTGTGCTGCTGGCACAGGGCTCTGACAGCTGCCTATGGCACAAGGGAGCTGAGGGAGCCAGGAGGGCTGTGCTGTGCTGTGCTGTGCTGCGCTGCGTGGTGCTGGCTGAGCACCCCGTGCCTCACTGCTGCACCTCGCAGAGTTCAAATTGAAGAAGATGTGGAAGAGCCCCAACGGGACGATCCGGAACATCCTGGGTGGGACGGTGTTCCGGGAGCCCATCATCTGCAAGAACATCCCACGCCTGGTGCCCGGCTGGACGAAGCCCATCACCATTGGTCGGCACGCCCACGGTGACCAGGTGAGCACCGCGGTGTGGGGCTGGGGGGCTCACTGCTGCCCGGCCCCATACCAACACAGCATCCCATGCAGTACAAAGCCACCGACTTCGTGGTGAACAAGTCTGGGACCTTCAAGATGATCTTCACACCGAAGGATGGCAGCGGGGCGAAGGAGTGGGAGGTGTTCAACTTCCCCGGTGGCGGCGTGGGCATGGGCATGTACAACACGGATGAGGTACCGGGGAGCTGCCGGGGAATCCCGTGGTACCATGGGGCTGGTGGGGAGCCTGGGGGACCCTACTGAGAGTAGCACTGCGTGTCCTTTGCAGTCCATCTCGGGCTTTGCGCACAGCTGCTTCCAGTACGCCATCCAGAAGAAGTGGCCGCTCTACATGAGCACCAAGAACACCATCCTCAAGGCCTATGATGGGCGCTTCAAGGACATCTTCCAGGAGATCTTTGATAAGTACGGAGCAGACGGGCTGGGCTGTGAGGCGGGCTCCCTGTGCCAGCACAGTGCCGCTGACTGCTGTGCTGCAGGCACTACAAGACGGAGTTCGACAAGCTGAAGATCTGGTACGAGCACAGGCTCATCGACGACATGGTGGCACAGGTGCTCAAGTCCTCGGGTGGCTTTGTCTGGGCGTGTAAGAACTACGACGGTGACGTGCAGTCGGACATCCTGGCCCAAGGTGATGCTGGCAGCTTTGGGGCTGGTGGGGTTCCGTGCTCCTGTCCCGTCCTGACCCCGTCCCGCCGTAGGTTTTGGCTCTCTGGGGCTGATGACCTCGGTGCTGGTGTGCCCCGATGGGAAGACCATTGAGGCGGAGGCGGCACATGGCACCGTCACACGGCACTACCGGGAGCACCAGAAGGTGGGTGTGTGCCCTGAGGGGTCCCTAAGTGAGGCGTCCCGGGGCGACCGCTGAGTGGGGGCTGTCTGCCCGCAGGGGCGGCCCACCAGCACCAACCCCATCGCCAGCATCTTCGCCTGGACGCGCGGGCTGGAGCACCGGGGCAAGCTGGACAGCAACCCGGAGCTGATGAAGTGAGTGGGGTGAGGGAGGGGGGGTTGCTCCGGGGCTGCCCCATGTGGCACATGGGGACCCGTGCTGGGCCATGGCTGCTGCTGAGCGCGCTGCCCCCAGGTTTGCTCAGACGCTGGAGAAGGTCTGTGTTGAGACCGTGGAGAGTGGGACGATGACGAAGGACCTGGCGGGCTGCATCCATGGGCTGGCCAAGTACGTGTGGCTGCGGGGGGTGGGGTGGGTGGTGCGTGTTGTGAGGCAGTGGGCAGCTATTTAGGGCTCGCACTGCACCGGGCGGCAGCTCTGGCTGTGGCTGTGGTTGTGGCTGTGGCCGGGGGGCAGGATTCCCATTCCTTGCCCTTCTCCCACAGCGTGAAGCTGAACGAGCACTTTGTGAACACCACCGACTTCCTGGATGCCATCAAGAACAACCTGGACAAGGCCCTGGGCAAAAAGTAGAGGACCCCCCAGGTGCCGCCCGCCATTACCTCACTGCTAACACCCCGCGAGCGGCACCTGCAGCTCCTCCACATGGCTCAGGAACGTTCCCCTCATTTTTATAACCCATTTTCCTATGTGTGTTTTTAAAGCGTTTCTAGGGGGAGGGTTGTAGGAAGGGGTGCGGGGGGGCTGCCCTTCACCATGCTGTAATTTATGTAACCTCTGACCTCGTGGTGCCAAATGGCCATTAAACACATCCCGGCCCGTGGTGTGCGCAGGGGTCCATGCGCTCCTGGCAAAGCAGGCAGCAGCAGCTAAAGAATTTAAATTCATTTATTTAGAATTATTGCTGAACAACTCTTCCAACCGAGGAGATAGACCAAAATAAAGACAGTAGGGCTTTGCACGGGGGGGGGCAACCGCTCTGCAGACACAGCGCAGGGTGCACCCCAACGGCTCTCCGGCACAGCGCGGCACGGGGTGCGGTGCTTTTTGGTAACGGGACAGAGGTAGATGTGGGGATGTGGGGTGGGCATGGGGGACTGTGCTGGGGGGGGCTGGGCTGGAGGAGCTGCTGAGCCATGGTGGGGGGCTCCAGCTGCAGGGACACCAGGCGGGGTGATGACCGGTTGCACGCTGTGGGGTCAGCGCATGGCTGCCCCTCGGCTCTGGGTGCCGGCGCTGCAGGATGCAACCACTGTGTGCCCCAGGGATGGGGATGCTGTGCCTTGGGCTGGCAGGGCTCTACCATGACCAAAGGGCATCCCTGTAGCCCGCCCCCACCACAGGGCAGGAAGGGGGCACAGCCCCCCCGGGGCTGCATTTCCAGGGCACACTCCTTCCTGCAGCCCGGGCTGGAGAAGCTCACACGGCAGCAGTGTGCAGCATTGGTGCAGCAGTGCAGCCCCTGTGGGCATGGGACCCCCGCCCAGCCCCTGCTGCCCCTGCAGCCCCACACAGCTCCACAGATGACACACATTACACAGGTTTACAAAGAACATTGGTTGAAGGAAACTGAACTCAGAAAAGATAAATCCAACCACGTGGCACATCTGAAAAAAATAAATTACTTTCAAAATACCATCATTTGCTCAAGTTGAACAGGGTTTGCCTTCCTTTAAATACATTGCTCACCAAAGCCACTCTGTACTCAGAGCTGCTGCTTCCGCTGAGCTTTGCAATTAGTTTGTAAGAAAATACTCTTTGTGTGTGTGCCCTGTGGCCTCTCGTGGCCTGCCCCAGCTCTGCCCGTACCAGCTCACCGCCGGTGCCAGAGCAACAGGAGCTGCTCTGGGCTGTGAGGAGCTGGGGAGCGCGGGGCGGTGCAGCGCTGGTCTCCATGCAGGGGATGCCAGGCTGATGCATGGCACGGCGCAGCTGAGCGGGGACCCAGGAGGTAGGATCAGGAGTGATGCTCGTTGTCTGCTGGAATGCAGCCTGCCAGCTTCAAGTACATCACGCGGGGCTGAGGGTGAGGGTCCGGACACCACTGAGGTGTGAGGGACAAGGGGGTGGCAGGGCACCGGGCAGGAGGGCACTCTTTCTCCAGAGGTTTAGGGAGAACGGGCCCCCGGCAGGAATGACCCCATGAAGGCAGGAGCTCTCCCAGGCTCCCTGCCCTGTGCCCAGCCGTGCTTTAGGGATGTCCCTGCCTGCCCCCCGCTCACCCCCCTGCAGCAGCACTGCATCCCAGCAGCAGTTCTCTTACATGCTGGGTCCATTTCGCCATCCCCCCACCCACCCCGGGCCACCCGCCCTCCTTGCTACAACATGTTGTAATAAGCCATTTCCTTCATGGCCTGCTCTGCCAGCGCGCCGTCGTCTGGGGGGTTCCCCACACCCTCATAGCCGTACGAGTTCTCCTCCTCGTAGTCTTCCATCTCCTGCTGCCCGTCCAGCTCGGTGTGCTCAGCCCCAGACAGGTCCATCATGGGATCTAGGCACAGCGCACACAGGCCAGTGTCAGCCCCATGCCCGTGGGCTCTGTGGCTCCGCTGTCCCCACAGCGGCCCCCACCCCACCACAGTACCCGAGCAGCATTTGCTATGGGCACTGTAGTTTGGTCCTGCTCCTGCAGCAAGCCAGCAGCGAGCGCAGCAGCCAGTCTGCAACATGCAGAGCCCAGCACAGCTCCAGCACAGCCCACACCTACCTTGGCTGTCCAGGCTGATGTCCATCACGCCATGCTTGACCTTCATGTGCCGGCTCAGGTTGCCTTTCAGGTTGAACTTGCTGGAGCAATAGGGGCACTTGAAGGGCTTGCTGCCCGCGTGCAGGTGCATGTGGCCCAGCAGGTTGTACATACGGTTGAAGGACTTCCCACAGACCTGCAGCAACGTTCTGGGGTTAGTGGGGTCCTGTAGCCCCCAATCCCAGCAAAAAGCCCAGCAGCAGCCTTGGGGATGCGGCTGTGCAGAACTGACCTGATTGCTCCCCAGTGATCTTTAAGGGGGCCGCCAGCCCTCCCCACCAACCTCCCACACCTTTCCTTTCCTGCTGCTCTTTCTGCAGCCACTACACTTGCAGAACCCAGCGTGCCAGGCGCTATCCCCGCCTCCCCTGGCGCCCCACGGTACCTTGCACTTGAATGGCTTCACCGGTGAGTGCACAATCATGTGGGTCTTCAGCGTCTGCTTCTGCACAAACGTCTTGAAGCAGATGTGGCACTGGTAGGGCCGCACGCTGGTGTGGATGAGCATGTGCCGCTTCATGTTGGCCTGCAGCGTGAACTCGCGCCCGCACACCTCGCACTTGAACTCCTTCACGCCCTGCAGGGATGTGGGAGGTGGTGAGCGCAGCTGGGGAGGGGGCAGCCGAGCTGAGCTGCCGGCATGGAGCAGGCGCTGCGCCGCGGTGACCGCCTGCTGCCCGGAGATGGCTCGGGGCTGACATGAGCTGCAGGCACCTGAGCAGCCTCTGTGGCCAACCCATCCCCAGGCACGGCAAGGCAGCAGCCCCGGGGCGCTCCGTGCTGCGCGCAGCACCTACCTTGTGTGTGAGCGAGTGCTGCTTGAGGTGGTGGATCTGGCTGAACTCCATGCCGCACTCGGTGCAGACGAAGGGCCGGACGTTCTGGTGCTTCAGCATGTGGTTCTGCAGCTGGCTGCGGTAGTGGAAGGACTTGCTGCACTCCAGGCACTGGTACAGCGTGGGGCCCTGGTGCGTGGCCAGGTGCCGCTTCAGCTGGGTGAGCGTGGAGAAGTCCAGCCCGCACTCCACGCAGACGTGGCAGCGGCCGCTCTCGTGCTTCACCTCGTGCGCCTTCAGCTCGCTGGGGTAGGCGAAGCCACGGCCACAGAAGCGGCAGCTGTAGGGCTTGATGTCGGTGTGCAGCAGCATGTGCCGCTTCAGGTGGCTAGTCTGCGTGAACGCCTTGCTGCACACCTCGCACTTGTGCGGCCGCGTGCCTTGGTGGGTCAGCAGGTGGGTCTGCAGGTGGCTGGGCTGCTTGAACAGCTTGTTGCAGTGCGGGCAGGAGTGCGGCTTGATGCCGTTGTGGCCCAGGATGTGGGTCACCAGGTTGTACTTGGAGGTGTAGGACTTCTCGCACATGCGGCACTGCCAGCGCTTCTGGCGGTCCCCCGCCTCCACCAGGTACGAGTCGTCGATCTGCACGTTGATGTCCAGCCGGTCCAGCTGAGCCTTCTTGCTGTGCTCGCTGTTGCCACCCACAGCATCCGCCTCCAGCTCGCCCGGCTCCTGCCACGCGAAGCCCTGCTCGCTCTTCACCCGCTCGGGGGACGCGGGTGCCTCGGGCTCCCCAGGGGACGCGGCGCCCGCCTCGAAGGCGCACGGCGTCCGCGTGGTGTCTGCGCCGCCTTGCGCCGGGTCGGGTTCGCGGCTGTGGGGCTGCTGGCGCGTGTGCCGGCGCAGGTGCCGCAGGCGCCGGGGCTTCCTGCTGAAGGCGCTGAGGTCGATCATCTTCACGGCGCCGCTGGGCTCCGGCATGGGGTCCGCGGGGGGGGCAGGCGGGGCACCGCGCTGCAGGTCGGCCTTGTCGTCCCCGGGCACGGCCACCTCGAACGCCTCCGCCTCCGCCTCCTCGCGCTTGACCTTGGGCAGCAGCCTCACCGGGGGCCGCTTCCTCCTGCGCGCGTGCTTCTCCGGGGAGCACTCTGCCTCCAGGGACTCGTCATCCTGCCCGTCTGGCGCCGTTCCCTCGCTCTCGGGCTCCGCCGTGATGTCAGGCTCTCCCTCATCCCCCAGCCCTGGGAAGAAGCCGGCGGGACTGACGGTGGCTCCCAGCAGCTCATTGTCGGACACCAAGCCCAGCACCGCAGCCTGTGCCAGGGACAGCACCACCACGGCGTCCGTCTGCGTCCCACACTCGGTGAAACGATCCATCCCTGCACCCTATGCGGTCATGGCTGTGGGAGGAGAGGGACAGCTGTTAGTGCTCCCTCCCACCCTGTGCAGACCCTCATGCAGAGGTTCCCATTATCACAATCCCATGCAATTCAGGGACTCGTCCCAACCTAATGCTGCCTGCAGAGCAGGAAGCGCTGAAACTCAGCGTGCAGAGCATCCCAGCTGCCCTCTGGAGGCTTCTGCGGGACTCCTCATGCTGTTTAATAATTCCATCTGCTTCCAGGAAGAAAGTCAAACCATTGCTCACAACTGACACAGAGCGATGCTCATTTGCGCGGGGAGGAGCGCAGTGCAGTGGGACGGGCTGATAGAACAGCCTGCACGGGCTTGTTGGCAGCACAAGATCCTCTGAGCAAATCGCTCCAATGGAAATAGTGCCCAACCCCAGAGCAGGGGCTGAGCAGTGCCACAGACAGCAGTGATCACTGCCAGCACTGCACAGCTGTGCCCCAAAGCACCTCTGTTCAGTTCCCACTGCTGTTGAGTGTCCCTGGCAAAGGAACAGCCTCGTGGGTCTACTCCTCACTGTGTGCTTCCCCACACAGCAGCACCTGCTGCTCCCCAGGCGGTGGTTCTGCGCTGCCGAGGGGCAAAGCACCGGGAGCAGCCCTGCAGCAAGGAAGGAGCAGGGAGCACCCAGAGCCCTGCTGCCATCCCACACTCTGACGATCCCGGCTGCGAGAAGCAGTGATGGGAGACAGCGGAGGGAGGATCACAGACAAAGCAAAAGAGAAAGAGGGAGAGAGAAGTGGGAGAGCTGCTTAAAGCAGCAGGCGGTCTGGCAGCGGGAGCAGCATGCTGGTGGCGAACACAGCCACGCAGCCACTGCGTGGGGACTTCTGGGGCGTTCTGCTGTGTGGGATCACAGCCCCCAGCAGGGCCCATCCCCGGGGCAGGCAGGGCAGAAATGGGATGGCAGCCCTGGGTGAGCAGGAGGCTGCAGCTTCCTCCTGTGGGGGGGACGTCCTGCTCAACGGAATTATTTCCACAGCTGCAACAAAGAGGAACCCTATGGGGGAGGTAAAACAGGGATAAACCCTAAGCCAGATGCTGTCGCAGTCCTAGGAGCACCCATGAGGCTGGAGAGCAGCAACCGTGGGCTGTGTATCGCCCTCCTTCTCAGAACAGAGACCCCCCATATCAGGCTCTCATCATCCCTGCAGCAGAGCTGCAGTGGGGGCAGGGCTGGGCACGGAGCAGCGTGGATGCTGTGATGGGAAGTGCAGCACTGGGGCTTCGGGGCGCCTGCAGCGGGCAGCAGCTTCCCGGAAGGAACTCAGCTCCCAGAGCTGTGCCGTTCGTGCTGCAGGAAGGAAGCTGCACACAACAGGAGCTCCCTGGGGAGGAAGGCCGGGTCCCTCCTGTTTGTGCAGGCGGGAGGAGATGGGAAGCAGGAAAAGCTGCTCGGATCCGGTTGGGATTTTGCTCCCTTCCTTCATTTTGCGGCACGACGCAGCAATTACTATTCCTCACTTGAACGTCTGTTTCAGTCCATTTGGATCACACTTTATCCAAGGGCTGATTTCTCCAAACCCACATATCAAACCCCATTCATCACCTGGGGCAGCGGCTCTGCTCCCTGCAGCCAGCGGGGCAGGACGGGTCGCGGTGTGCGGTGCAGAGCTGGAGCAGCAGTGGGGACAGCTCTGCTCCTCCATGGCACAGCACTGTGACGGGGAGCAGCTGCCCACACACAGCTCCCAGCACTCACGTGTCTGAGAAAAGCAAACAACCAAACATCACCAATAACCAGAGGCTTTCAGAAGGTCAGTGACAGATCTTCCTCTGCAGTACTCTGAGCAAGGGGATGAGAGCTGCTCTCTGGGCTCTCTGCACTAAATACAGGCCTGTGTTGCACAGAGGACCCTTTGCACTTTGTCAGACATTGAAGCTCTTGTCTGTGAGCGAGCCTTGCTGCTCAGAAGAGAGCATGGCCGCAGCAGCCACAGAGCTGCTGGTGCAGCTGCACAACACCACACCAGGGAGAAGTGGCAGCCGGAGGGACGCTGATGTTTCACTTCCCCCTCACACTTCCCTGTGGCTCTCATGGGCCAGGAGTGCCGTTTCCCAGCACACCAGCTGGGCTGGGAGCAGCACGTCAGCTCCATGTGCACACAGCCGGGGCTCTCTGGGTGCAAAGCCAAACTGCAGTGCTGGGCACTGGGGAGGGAGGAGGTCCCACGGTCCCAGCACCCATCCTAGCACTGCTCCAGGACAGCACCAGGCGGGCACAGGAAGGACAGAATGGTTGAACTCCACCTGGAAGAGGCACCCCTGCAGAGGGACAAACAGCCGCAATAGTGCCCACTGCGAGCAGGAAAGCACCGCCAGGCAGATGAGCTCGTACCCTGCATGCACAGAGCTCTGTGTGGCACAGAACAGCTCTGCACCAGTGCACCCCTGACCACTCCTCATTACCACCTCATTGCAGCACGCTGCCCAGCCCCAGATGTGCTCTCAGCCCGCCTCTCCCTGAGTGCCAGCAAACAGCTGCACAAATTTCATCACTCCACTTTCCAGCAAAGCCATCACTCTTCCAGGAAATATCTCTATGCAAAAATCCCCTACTACACTGATTTATCCACATCTCCCCTAAGCACACCGGTGGGGTTGCTTGGGAGGGACACCCAAATCCACGCTGCCCATCCGGCACTGTGGCTGCGGTGCTCTGGGGGCAAAGGCCGTGTTGGTTCTGCTGTGTGCACTGCAGGGATCAGTCCCTGAGCCAGAGCTGCAGGCAGTGCCAGCAGCACCTGCAGCCCAGGCTGAG